ACCCTCACTTTCCAGTTAGTATATAGAGATCATGAAAATCTGTGTCACCAACACTGGGGCTATCTAGTCATCAGTTGCTTCCTTCGCTTAGTTTTAGCTGATCAAACTTTCCCAAAGGTGACTTCTTCCTAAGCCATGAACTGACATTATCTAGTTTCTTTCACACCTCCACTCTGAGCTCATTTGTTCATGAGGCCCATACAACACCATCAATCTTAATCTCTCTAAAAACTGATGGCTATCAAAATTCCTTTCCCCAGTTTAACTAATATTCTGAAAAAGTTCACTCCCCTCAGGTACTGTCCTCCTCAAAAAACCCTCAACGCTTCTGACTTTCTAAACTACCATCCCATCTCCAAGCTCCCTTTCCTTTCTAAAGTCGCTGAACCTGCTGTCACTTCCTAAATGTATCCATCTTTCCTGGCACTCCACGTTTGAATGCTTCCAATTAGTTTTCCACCTCTGCCACAAAACCAAAACAACTCCTACCAAAGTCACAAATGACATCTAGTGTGTGTATGATAGAGGTAAACTACCTCTTCTCAACCTTTTCACTGCCTTTGAAAATGCGACCATAATCATCCTCCTCCAACACCACCTCTCTGTCTTCAGTTGGGTGAGACTGCACTCTTATCTAGTTATAGCCAGAGAATTACCTGTAACCCTATTTTCAACACCATTTCCTTTAGTATTCCACCAAAGCTCTCTCTTTGGGTCCTTCCTATTTCTCATCAGCCTGCTACCTCTCAGTAACATCATCTGAAAACATAACACTGGTTTTCAAATGCACAATAATGAGTGACAACCAGTTTTAAAAATCTCATGGGATGTGGAGGTCACTCGCTAGGCCAGCATTTATTGTTCATCCCGAATTGCCCAAAGTCAATCACATTGCCATGGGTCTGGAGTCACATGTAGGCCAGCCCAGATGATGGCAGATTTCCTTTGGAAATGGGTTTTTAGAACAATCAACTGTGGCAACATTAGACTAGCTTTTTGTTATTACAGATTTTGTAATTTTATAAATCAAAATTTCATCATATGACAACGGTGGGACTTGAACCCATACCCCCAGAGCATTAGTTTGAAGCTCCGGATTACTTTCAGTGACATTACCACCTAATAACTTGCCTTCCATAGTTCTTTCCCAAACTCTCTTTCAACTATCAAATGTCTCAACATTGTCCAAATAGATGCCAACCATGCAGTATTGGATGAGGATAAATTTTCTCCAATTAAATACTGGAAATGCCAAAGTCATGTCCAAGCCACTGACACCATCCTTCACCCTGGCAACCATCAGAACTAGGAGTAGGAATAGGCAATTCAGCCCTTTGAGCCTGCTCCACTAATTAATATCATCACAGCTGATCTCATTTTAGTTTTAAGTCCACTTCCTTGCCTACTCTCCAAATCCCTTCAACAAATAACCAATTAAAAACCTGTTTACCTCTTAAATTTACTCAATGTATGGTGGATGCTGGGACATCGACTCAACTCAAAAGTAATTTGTCATCTGTTTTAAGTTTGTCATTCCTTAACCTAAAACTGTGACTTCTCATTATAAATTGCCCACGAGAGAAAAGATCTTCTCTACATCCACTTTGGCAATCCCCTTTAGCATCTATTATACCTCAATGAGATCTTCTCTCATTCTTTAAAAATCCAGAAAGCACAGGTCTAACCCGCTCAATCTCTCTCTCATATGACAAACCCCTCATCTCTAGGATCAATCTAGTGAACCTCCTCTGAACTGTCTCCAATGCAACTCCATCCCTCCTCAAGTAAGGCCAAAACTGTGCATAGTACTCCTAAACCAAAATGTTTGCAACCATGGCGTTATATTTAACTCCAAGATGTGGTTCCATACAACCACGTCATCACTAATATCACTCATTTGCATTCCAAGACATCACCTAGCTCTGCTGCTGCCTCAGTTCATCTGCTGCAGAATCTCTCTACGATACCTTTATTACTATAAAGATATTTCAACAGATCATTAACTGGCTTCCCACATTCTGTAAACTCAAGGAACCCAAACTCGATGGCTGACGTCCTAACTTGCACCAAATCCAGTTCAATCATCACCTTTCCACTAGCTGAAATACAATGGCCCCTGTTAAAATTTAATTATTTTCAAATCCCTCCATGGTCTTGCCTCTGATTTATAAGTTAGAAGATTTGTAATCTTCCCCAGCACTACAACTTTTTGACTAATTGCAATCCTCAGATTTCAGCTTCTTGAGCATTCCTGATTTTAATCAAGCCACTACTGATGATCATAATTTCAGTAGCGAAAGACCCCATTTCACTATATTTCTGCTTCCTTATGATCTTTTTGACAAAGGTTTTGGTCACCTACCCCAATATCTCCTATACTGCATGGTGTCAAATTTATGTGACCAGCATGGGACACTTTGCTACATTCAAAGCACTTTACAAAAATCAGTTGTTGTTGTTTCTACACAGTTGTACGGCAACTCTTCCTGCTCAGTGCTGTCATTATCTCTATAACATCAAAAAAGCATTACTTCTTAGGTGTTCTCACCCTCTTTGGCCAATCTGCTACGTGCTGGTCCTTTTGCAGTAACATGTGAATGTGACTCTCGCTCAGTCATGTTTTTCTGCGTACAACATGCAGTGTCATTTCCTTTCATTCTGATTCTTTTCTCTGCCTAGCAATGTTACATCTCAGTAAATGTGGGTGGGTCTGCTATGTACCATGTTTAGAGAAATGTGCAATTGAAAAAGGCTGAATCAACCTCACACTTCCACATGAATTGTACTGTTAAAGCTTGACATAATTGAAGTTCCTGTGGCAGTTCAATGCAACCACAGTCAGTATTTCAAAGAAGTAAAAACACTGACATTTTATCCTGATACCCTAAACAAGGAAGCAAGATCCAACAGTTGAAGGGAATACAATTTTACTCAGAAGGCTACACTCTGCAAGGAACACCCCATGGCCTAAAGTTAAGTTAATTTTTGTAGCCATCACAATTATCCTCAACTTTAGTTAATCCACGATAATTCTGCCTATTTAAATCTTCATCTAGGCAAAGTTTCAAGAAATTCAGGTGACATGGAATGAATGGCTTTCAGTTGGAGTCCACAGCATGCCTATTGACCAAATGAGACACAGGAGGCAAGAAAGCTTTTGAAAGCTGTGGATATCACTAACATCTTGATAATTTTGTAGTTTTGCCTTCTGGTCCTAGATTAAAGCATATACTCCATATTATCAGTTATGTCTAGCTATCATTAAGACCTTGATCATACCTCACCTCAAATTTCTTCTTCTCTGACAATAACTTTAGACATGTCATTTGCACCTCACTGTTTAAACTAGAACTATTCTTGTTCCTCTTCCTTGCAATCCATGAAGGTCCTTTGCCAAACACCTTCACATAATGATCCAATCAGTGCTCTATAAAAAAGGTGGCATTTCAGTTTCAGAACAAAACAGACAAAATGAATTGTCCCTCCTTGATCGAGTACAGAGTGATTAGGTAAAATAATTTAACTTCAATTTCACATTTTGAGATTTCACATTTAAAAATCATTGCCTTTTCTTACCTTAGCCCCGAAGTTTGCATATTAGCTTTAATATTTAATTTAAATTTTAAATATTTAATTTTAATTTCCTTGCATCAGGCACAGTTTTAGAATAATCTGACCAAATTAAATTTGTTTCAGAAATCCAAATCCCTCAAATGTGCTGAATCTTGCCTTACAACATTGCTTTGAGAGAGACTGCTCAGTACCTTATACCACAAACCTTAGAGAATGGTTATCTTTGGAATAAAAGAAAACACAGTATTTTCAAAGTACCTCTGATCCCTCTCATTCACATCTCCTGTTATCAGAACAACATTGGAATCTTTTCTGCCCTTGGGGGCAAGTGTATGTACCTTAAGGCATCGTACAGACGAAAAGCTTCCAAATCAGCATTACTAGCGTCCTACTTGTTGGGATATAGTCACCTATCCTTAGTTTTAAGGTTATGTTTGCACATTCATCCGCGATTGGTGAATATGCAAAATCAACACTATCGTCAACACAGCACATCAGTCTTTGACCAACAACTTTTAACTACAGGTAGCTGTAGCAGAGGTCAGTGAGGGATTGACAGCAATGTCTGTGCCTAGCTGTACACTCCAAGCACTGTATTTTTGTTCAGTGACTGGCTACAGCCCATTTGTGAAACTTCCCCTCTCCTCCCTCAGGCTTCCTTAAGTTCAGGCCAGGTTATCACTGAATGTCAGTACTCCCTAGCGAGCTCCATATTTCACAGATTCCCCCTGTTGTGGCATAGCCTCAGTCTCCGCCCAATACCCTCGCCAATACACCCATTCTTCCTTTATACCCCCGCTTACCCACCTTCGGGATGTCATGGTGATAGACGGAGGGCACTCCCTCCCACACTGGCCTGCCGGTTGTTTTCTGCCTCCGCCGGTGATAGGTGGGAGAGTTGGTAGGCACTCTGCCTCTGCCGCAGCTCCTATGGGGCAAAGGGCCCTGACTCGAGCTCAGGCACTTCCCGCCCAGCGTGTGTGTCTCTCTCTCTCTCTCTCTCTGCCCGGCTGAGGAACTAACTGGAAACGCAGCGACTACGTCGCGAGGGGGAAGAAATCATCACCTCCTACCCCCACCCCCCGCCTTTCCCTCCCAGGCGACGACGCTGGAAATCTACGTCTCCAACACTCCGACCGCGCACGGATATGACGCACACGCCGTCCCCTTCCTCTGCAAGGCTAAGAGTAGACATCGAAAGAATAATGACTTATCACGCTAGGGCAGAGAATGTCGAGTTAACACCCCAAAACTCTCTCGGCGCGCATGTGTAAAATTTGCATTTCTTGTTCCCACCCCACAAAAAACCCGGTGACGTCACTCCGCCCGACCCGTTCACTGTGCCGATTTGGGGACCGCCATGTTTTTTATTGGCAGGACGTGTCATAAAGTGCGCACGCGCAGGGCTTTTCGCATGCGTATTGTGAACTTCCGGGAGGGGGTCTGTCATGAGAGGTTTTGTCATACCAGAAACCAAGAAGGTTCAAAAGAAGTTTGATTAAGAATAACTCGGGTCGTTACTGGTTTGAATTCATTCGTTGATCGGGGGTCAGATTGATCTAAAGTAAAAGGATTAGTGCGGGATGTGAGGAGAAATATTTCACGGTAGGTGGAGGTATGGTCTAGAATGTTCCACCCATTCTGGTGGTCCAGGCTGAAACCTCCGATAATGTAGAACAAAAAAAAGCAAAAGCTGGAGAAAGTTAGTGGCTCTGGCAGCACCTGAGGAATAAGAGAAAAAGAGTTACCGTTTCCAGTCTGGTGAGTCTTCATCAGAATTAGTTTTGAAGAACGTTACTGTCTAATTCTAAAGAAGAGTCACTGGACTCCAAACGGTAGCGCTGCTTCCCTCTCCGCAGATGATGTTAGGGCTGTTGAGTTTAACTACTTCGGTTTCTTGTTTCAGAAACCTTCAAACTGTCTGGACGGTTTTTCTTTGGATCTGCTAGACTAACGACCAGGTGCTGGAAGATGGGGTAGTTTTCTTTTCTCCCAACTGCTGTGAACGTGACGGACTGAATGGCCGCTTTTTATGCTGCAACTTCTCCGTGGTTCCGTAAAGACAGTTTTGTGACACTTGCTACAATTTTATCACAACAAAGGGTTAGCAAATGGAATTTTCTATTATAAACACTGAAAGCCGAATCAATACGGTCATGAAAGGAAAATAGAAAAATGACGTTTAGAAGTATGTAAAAGCAAGTGGCAACATAAACTAATTCAGACAGAATTGTGGCAATGCAGTGTATTGTAGGTCAGATCTCGATCTAATAGAGCAGAGAGGTTCTGGATCTGCTTTAGTATTTGGTTCAGGGCTTGGGTAAGTACAATAGCTTAAACGAGGCAGGAGCAAACAGCAAAGAAAGGAACAAACTCAGCCGGGTCTGGTACCATTTGTGGAGAGAAAACAGGTTCACAACTAATTGCAGTTAGGAAAAGGTGGCATATATGTTGAAGATGGGAGAGGGGAAGGAGGTGAAGATAGAGCTCAGAGAAAGAGAACAGCTTTTGGGCAAATAAACGAATGGATAATGGTCAGCATAGGAAATAGCTACTAATAAGGACTGTTAGTAGGTGAAAATGGATTGGCTGTGATGAAAGCAGCCAAAGTGATGACAAGGTGGAGGTGGAGGTGGTGTGAGGGATGTAAAAGACATGGAAGAAGGTGCTCAGGCCCTATGATTAGTGAACTCCATATTGAGTCCTGAAGGCTGCAGGTTCCCCAAGCAGAAAATGAATGCTGTTCTTCCAGCTGGAGCACTGCAGCAACCCTGGGAAGAAATGTTGGCCAGGGTGCACAGTTGTGTCTTGAAGCTCAGGGTCTTTTTTTTTTGTGTGAACAGAACACAGGTGTTCCATAAAGTGATTACCCAGTCATTCCTTTGTCTGCCAACTACTGTTCTGTTTCTGGGCTCCATCTCTACCTACCGTTTATTCCCCAGCCCCTGTTTTCAGCATGATGTAATCCCCTTTTCCCTGTGACAAACAGTTCTGAAGATGAGTCATTGGGCCTGAAAAGTTGACTATTTTTTGTGCACAGATGTTGCCAGACCTGCTGACCTTCTCCAGTAATTTGTTTTTATTTGTTTCAGATTTCCAGCATCTATAATTTTATTTATTTTAGTGAGGTAAGGGAGTTGGTTAGCATTGAGAGTCAGTCTTTTGATTCCCATAAGGTCAAAATGATGACACTTTAGATTCTCACTTGATTTTACTTCTTGCATCTCCATGTCCCTAACACAATATATCAGTCCATTGGTCACATGACTAAGTTATGGGGAGGTGATGGCCTAGTGGTATTATTGCTGGACTGTTAATGCAGAGACCCAGAAAACATTCTGGGGACCTGGGTTTGAATCCTGCCATGGCAGATGGTGGAATTTGAATTCAATAAATATCTGGAATTAAGAGTCTAATGATGACCGTGAATCCATTGTCGATTGCTGGAAAAATCCCATCTGGTTCACTGATGTCCTTTAGGGAAAGAAACTGCCATCCTTACCTGGTCTGGCCTACATGTGATCCCAGACCTACAGCAATGTGGTTGACTGTTAACTGCCTTCTGGGCAATTAGGGATGGGCAAAAAATGCTGCCTAGCCAGCAACGCCCTCATCCCTCGAATGAATTTTTAAAAAAGTTGGAACAGTGAGGTCCCCTTTGTACATTCAGCAATTAGTTCCTATTACTTTCTCATCAGAAACAACATCCTTTTAATTAAAGAAAAATGGTGTGCCTTTATATCAGTATAACAGTTCCAGTCATCATTTTTCCTAAAGTAAAGATGAATGTTAATCTAATCTTAAAAATGAACACTTTACAGTTATTTAACTTGTTCTCTTTTCCTTTAAAGACAAGTTTTTTTTTGGCTGTAAAATGTTGTTTCTGTTTGAGCTAAACAGCACACTGCAGTTGGTCTTTAAATACTTCAAGTTCTGCTTTATTGTTCTGCAGCGCAAGTTTTTCTTGCAGCCACTCCTGTGCCTTTCTTCCAGCTTTTCAACTTTCTGCTTTACCCATTCTTGGAATTGGTCCAGCTTCTGTTGTTGTAATTCCAGTAAATTGTTCTCCAACTGGACATAGTGTTAAACTGCATCTGGAGTTCACTAAATTACTGTCTAAGCACAGCACTGTCAGCTTTTTGAGTTCTTCTCCTATGGAGTGAATGCTGATAAAGTTTTGAACTGAGATTCATGTTTACCTTCTCTCTGAACAGTATACTTTGCAATTGCTATTTTGTGTACTTTTTAGCAAGTCATGTTATGCCCTGCTTAGTCTCAGCTTTTCAGGTATGTCACTTCATCTTTTTTCGTTTTAAATTTTTATTCTGATGTGCTGTAAGTTTCTGGTAATCTAACTGAATTTTGAATAGGCTGACTTTTTTTTTCCCCATTCGGAGCTCCATCTTTTGTATTGGCTGTGAGTTTCAAATACGATGTGGCCATTTGTATCCATGTGAGCTCAACTGCTACTTCCTGTGTTTTTATGGGTTTTGTTTTTTCCAGTCTGACTGGGGGCATCCTTACATAACTCTTTCTCTAGTACATCGATGACTGTATCAGTGCCTGCTCTCACCCAGAACTGGAAAAGTTAATCCATTTTGCTTCCAATTTCTAGCCTTTCAAGTTCACCTGGCCCATCTCTGACTCTTCCCTTTAATCCTTGATTTTTCTGTCTTTGCCTCCTTTTGCAGGGATAGACTGTCTACTAATATTAGTTACAAATCCACCAACTCCCATAGCTACCTCAGCTACACTTGCTCACACTACTTTGAAGGGACCATTCTCTTTGACATCCCTCTATTACCCCAACACTTCATCTCCCTCCCATAGCACTTTTCTGTTCAGTGGCAGGAAATGCAATACGTTCTCTTTTATCTCCACTCTCCTACTGTCCAAAGCCATAAATATTTCTTTCAGGAGATGTAAATCTACTTGTGCTTTTTTTTTTCGATCTAGTCTACAGTCTTCAATGCTTATAACGTAGCCTCCACTTCACTGGGGATACCACTTTGCAGAACACACCTCAGTTTGCAAGCATGACACCAACCTTCTGTCACTTGACACTTTAGTACACCATTTAGCTCTTAGGATTTTTTTTTGCCCTAGGTCTACTGTAGTATCGGAGTGAAACCCATTGCAACCTGGAGCATTTTCCATTTAGGCCTAAAGAAGTCACTGGACTCAACGTTAACACTATTTTCAGATGCTGCTAGATGCTGAGTTTCTCCGGCTATTTGTTTGTTTTAGATCTCCAGCATCTGAAGGTCTTTGTATTATTCTATTTGGGCCTTCTAGATTCGATGTTGTGTTGAATAATTTCAGACCATGAACTCTGCCCTCCGTTTTGTTTCCCTGCCCTCTCCCCATTGTTTTTACGTTTTGCATGCAGCAGTGCTGACCTTTTAATTATGCTCTTAACAGCTACTGTTAAACACCTAATCTGGACCTAGCTCTCTTTACAACATTAACACTCCCTTTGCCTATTGTTGTGATGCTGGAGTTTGTTAATCTGTCTCTCTAACATTCCCTTAAATTCCACCTGCTTCCCCTCCTCTTGGTTAGTACTTGGAACTATGACATTATTGCGATTTAAAGACTGGGCTGAAAGAGGGACAGCTGAATGTTCCCATGATTTAGATGTTTTGGAAGTGACGGAGGTAAAAGCGGTGGGGAAGTAGCATTGCTGGTAAAGGAGTATCTGTTGTACCGAGAGAGGATACATCAGAGGAGTCGTGCAGCAAGGCAATGTGGGTAGAACCCAGGAATAGGAAAGGTGAAATAGCAATGCTGGGGATATACTACAGGTCACTCACCAGCCAGTGGGAGATAGAGGAGAGAATATGTGGACAGATTTTGGAAAGATGTAAAAACAGCAGGGTTGTTGTGGTGGGTGACTTTTGTTTTCTTTTTAACTTCCCCTGTATTGACTGGGACTCCCTATGTGCTAGGGGCTTGGATGGGGCAGAATTTGTAAGGACCGTTCAGGGGGAATTCTTGGCACAATACGTAAGCAGTTCAACCAGGCAAGGAGTTATACTGGACCTGGTTTTGGGACATGAGCCCCGTCAGGTGAGTGAAGTTTCAGTGGGGGAGCATATCAGTAGTGGTGACCATTGTACTGAGAGTTTTAAGATAATCGTGGATAGGGATAACCTTGGGGGAAGGTGAGCTATGACAATAGTAGGCAGCAGCTGGATAATTTTAGAGGCAGCTGTTTGAGAGTAAATCTACATTGGACATGTGGGAGTATTTCAAACTGCAGTTGGTAAGAGTTCATGAGTGGCACATTCCTATGAGAGTAAAGGATACGTATGGCAAGTTATGTGAGCCTTGGATGACCAGGGATGTTATGACCTACATCAGAAAGAAAAAGGTCTGAGGATGGGAACTTATGTAACCCTCTAAGTGTATATAAGGAAAGTAGGAAAGAACTTAGACAAGGAATTAGAAGGGCTAAAAGGGGTCATGAAAAGTCATTAGCAAACAGGATTAAGGAGAATCTCAAGGCTTTTTATACTAACTCATTCCGCTATAATGTGATAGTTGTGTTACTACACAACATCGCATTACCATAGAATCCCTACCGTGTGGAAACAGCGCCTTCAGCCCAACAAGTCCACACCAACTCTCGGAGCATCCCGCCCAGACCCATCCCCCTATAACCCACCTAATCTACACATCCCTGAACGCTATGGGCAATTTTTCATGACCAATCCACCTAGCCTGCATGTTTTTGAACTGTGGGAGGAAACTGGAGCACATGGAGGAAACCCATGCAGACATGGGGAGAATGTGCAAACTCCACACACAGTCACCAAAGGGTGGAATTGAACTTGGTGCTGTGAGGCAGCAGTGCCAGCCACTGTGCTGCTCAGAAAATCGTGACCTGGAAATTATGGAGCTATGGGTAAAGTGGGGTTAGGGCAGACCACCAAAAATCACTCAAAAGCCTCACAAAGGATAGCACAGTTTGAATAAATGTTAAATTTACTTTTATTTCTTTATTAGATATGAATTAAACACCTTACACTGAGAAAATGTGAAGATGACTTGGGGGAGGAGGATTTGAGGTTGCTGTGCTGTTCATGTTGATCATGTGATGC